TTTGGAGTGCATTCGTGAGGGTGACTTTCTTGCCTCGGTTGACTTGACCGAGGCCTATTTGCACGTCCCCATTTTTCCACCCCACCGCAAATTCCTCCGTTTTTATTTTAAGGGCTCTCATTATCAATATAGGGCTCTTCCCTTTGGCCTCTCTTCGGCTCCCAGGGTCTTTACTAAGTTGATGGCGGCCCTCATCGCCCATATTAGGTCCCTCCCCATTCGTATTTTATTCTACCTGGATGATATTCTTATCCTCTCCTCCTCCCTTCCCGGGGCTCGGCAGGATGTCTCAACTTCTATCTGTTTGTTTGAATCTCATGGTTTCCTAATCAATTGGGCCAAAAGTTCTCTGACCCCCTCAACCCGTCTCCAGCATTTAGGGGCTGTCATAGACACTGTTTCATCTATGGTGTTTCTCTCACCGTCACGCCAGTCCAGCTTATCTGACCTGGCTTCTCAATGCCTGGAAGGCGGGCCCGTGTCCGTCCTCGTCCTTTCTCGTCTTCTGGGCAAAATGGTGTCCTCCTTCCACATTGTCCCCTGGTCCCGTTTGCATAGCAGGCGCCTCCAATGGTTCCTCCTCCCCTTTCAGCGTTCTCTGTCTGTTTCCTCGTTGCGCAAAGTTTCCCTTCCTTCGAAGGTTTTGGACTCCTTAAGGTGGTGGTCTTCTTTGGCACTTGCCAATGGTACCTTGTTTAGGGAACCTCATCGGTCGGTTCTTACTACCGATGCGAGCCTTTCCGGCTGGGGTGCGCATTTAGATTCCCATATGGTTCAGGGTCTTTGGACTGAAGCGGAGAGGGATTTTTCTATTAATCTTTTGGAATTACGGGCGATTTTCCTCGCCTTACGTCATTTTCTTCCCTTGCTTCAGGGTAAGCACGTCCTTGTGTTAACCGATAATGTCTCCGCCAAGGCCCATGTTAATAGACAGGGTGGTACCCGCTCTAGGTCCCTTTTCTATGAATCCCTGCAACTCGGCCTCTGGGCCGAGTCTCACTTAGCCTCTCTAAAGGCTTCTCACATTTCTGGCAAGTCTAACATTCAGGCTGATTCTCTTAGTCGCAATTTGGTGGACCATTCTGAATGGCAACTTCACCCTGATCTCTTCCTGGAGCTTTCTCACCGCTTTGGTCTTCCCGAGGTGGACTTGTTCGCTTCCCACGTCAACCATCAGGTTCCTCGTTTCCTTTCCAGATTTCCGTCCCCAGAGGCAGAAGCGGTGGATGCCCTTCGCTCTCCCTGGCCTCAGGGGGTGCTTCTTTATGCTTTCCCTCCCCTGCCACTCATCGCCAAGGTCCTCAGGAAACTCCTAGCGGAGAAGTCGGAGCTGGTCCTCATAGCTCCACACTGGCCCGGCCGGCCCTGGTTTTCGGACCTGGTCTCCCTGTCCACAGCCAGTCCCTGGCGAATACCGGACGATCGAATTTGCCTTCTGCAAGGGGCTCTGGTCCATCCCGAGCCCCAATGGCTACAACTAACCATTTGGAGACTGAACGGGGATTCTTGACGAGGGCCAATATTCCTCCTGCCGCCATTAGAACCATCCAGGCTGCGCGGCACCCTTCCACCGCCCGTATTTACAAGTCTACCTGGCGCTCCTTTTCATCATGGTGCTCGGCCCACCAGGTTTGCCCGACTTCGCCTTCGGTGGAGCACATCATCGGTTTTCTCCAGGACGGCTTCGACTCCGGCCTTGCCCCCTCTACTCTGAAGCGTTAGGTCGCGGCCTTGGCTTCCATCTCTACATGTGCTTCTCTGACAACTGTTACCAAGGAGCCCTTGATCCGCCAATTTCTGCGGGGCGCTTCAAACCTGAGTCCTCCGGTCATTCACCGTTTCCCTACCTGGGATCTCTCAAAGGTTTTGTCCTCCCTCACTCAATCGCCCTTCGAACCTCTCCGGACGACTTCCTTGAAATTTCTCTCCTTTAAAGTGTCGTTCTTGGTGGCGGTTACATCCGCCCGTCGCATCTCCGAGCTGGCCGCTTTGTCAATCTGGCAAGACTTATGTGTTTTCCATCACGACAAGGTAGTCTCTGTTTGGACCCCACGTTCCTTCCCAAAGTGAACTCTGTGTACCATCGATCGCAGGAAATCGCCTTGCCCAATTTTTGCCCTCACCCGTCTCACCGGCTTGAGAAAATGTGGCACAAGCTCGACGTCCGCAGGGCCTTGCGGATCTACCTTTCTCGTTCTGCCTCTTTTCGTAAGACAGAAGCCTTATTCGTCTCGTTCCAACCTACTACGATGGGAACCAAGGTTTCTGCTCCAACCTTGGGCCGATGGATCCGGGCCACAATTGCCTTTTTCTATGAGTCACAATCGCTTGTGGTTCCCAACAGGGTGACTGCACATTCCATCAGGAGTGCAGCCACCTCCGCTGCTTGGGCTACTCAAGCGTCCTTGGAAGAAGTCTGCAGGGCGGCGACTTGGTCTACCCCGACACCTTTTATTAGACACTACCGTCTGGACATATACGCGTCGGCTGATGCGGCGTTTGGCAGACGGGTCCTGCAATGGGTCCATGTTTCCTGATCTGAGGCTCGCCCGAGCACTGCCCTCCCATTGGACATCAAGCTTTGGTATGTCCCAGTGCTGCCTGCCGTTCCCAACCAGGGAGGAGAAAGGGCGTTGGTCCTACCTGATACGCCCATTCTCTCCCGCGGGAGGGAACGGCAGGCAGCCCCCTCCCTATTGGGGCTGCGCCTTCAGGTGTCGGGGCGGGGTGGGTTGTACTTACCTTTTCTTTCTATCAGCAGGAGACGCACAACAGTCTGCAGTGATTACCTCGCCGATAAACTGGAGAGAGCAGCAGGAAGGGCGGGGCTAAGCTTCATTGCAGACCCGGTCCTGATTGGTCTACTGACTGAGCCTACCCAGTGCTGCCTGCCGTTCCCTCCCGCGGGAGAGAACGGGCGTATCAGGTAGGACCAATGCCCTTTCTCCGAACTACTCAAAATTTCTGCTACCGGTTCTCCAGAACCTGTCAGAACCTGCTGGATTTCACCCCTGATATACACTTCTCTTTGTATTCAACCAAAGATCAATACATCCCTTTCTGGCAGTCTTGATCCTCAAGTAGAAGTGATCCAGTTGTAGGGTGATATAATCCAATCTGTAGTCCAAATTAAAGAATGGCAATAATATCATAGTATTATTTGATATTACCAGGCTAGCTCATTTTTTCACATTTTTCACAATTGTAAATTTAACCTTTGGTCTTTTATTTAATTAAATCAAACTAGTTAATTGACAAGCTACCTCATTCTTTCACATTTTGCACACTTGTAAATTTAACCTTTGGTCTTTTATTTAACTAAATCAAACTAGTTAATTTTTTTCTCACTCATTTAATATTTCTCTTCAATTTAAGATGTTTAAGTAGAACTCTAGGAGTACTCTGTATTAATATGCTTGTCATGTTTGTATCCTCCAGCATCCACCTTCACCTGACTTCTGAACTGAACATAAAGAGAACTAGGTTACAGAAAGTCATTTCATCATCTTCTTATGCGACAACATCTAGAACTGACTTATACCTGGCAGTCAAAAACATACCCCTTGTGCAATTGCTTCCTCCCATGAGCTACATAGTGGCCCATAAGTCCCAATAAGCAGGTCCTATAAAATTTTGCAGCTATTATAATTCACAGCACGCAGTTCATTCTCTGACTATTCTTTCCTGATTAGTGATGTTATCAAGGCACCACTTTCAAGCTAGTAATTCATGGAGGCAAGTCCAGGCTGACTTTAATGGGACCTTCACTGATTTGTAGCTTTTCTGATTCACCGGCATGCAGGTGAGGCAGAAAGCCATTTCAGACAAACACAAACAGGACATCTGTAATGAGAAGAAATCCAAATAAGAGGGGCTAGAAGGAATTTTAAAAAAATGGTACTCATGTTTATTCCAGCTGTGATGCTAGAATTCACAAGGTCAGGCTATTTGTCCTTCTAGTTTAATACTTGCTACTTGATTATTGGTAATTAGAATCAATCAATAGTTTGAACCTATGATTGATTTCATTACAAAACGTCTTTGTATCCCTGGGCAATGGATCCTTTATTAAATATTTAATTACTCTTGAAAGTATTAAGGTATATACCCCCAAAAGTTCACATTACACCTGAGGTATCACAACAATAACAAGTATGTATCTCTGCCTTGCCTTATCTGTGATTCAAGAGCTTCTCTTGAAGCTCTGTCTCTGATAATGTACAGGTAGTCCTTGATTTACAACAGTTGTTTAGCAACCATTTAAACTTATGATGGACCCTGGATTCAAAGTTCCAATGGTTGTTCCCTCAGCAGTCACGTGACTGTGTTTTGGGTTCTTGGCAAATGGCTGACATTTATGGCCATTTTCAGTGTCCCATGGTCATATCACAGCAATTTCTGACATTTTTGCTGGAAACCAGAGTTGCTTTCTTGTTTTCAGGAAAAACTGCCAATAGTAAACAATAGGTTCATTTAACGACTACTGCAAAAAAAAAAAGTTGTACAATTATGTACAGCCATGTGGTGACCTGCTTTATGACCACAACATCAATGGCATGGCAAATTTTTGTTTTTGTAAAAAAATTTCTTAAAAGTAATACTCCCTTAAAAGTATTTTAAGGGAGTATTGAAGTCTGACATTGACATTTGTCTTCAAATTAGAGTGACTTTTGAGGTTGGTCTCCTTAACCAATTACTTTTCCATGGTGACATCATGGAGAGATTATGAAAGAAGAGACAGAGAGAGGTCATAAAATATACATTAAAATACTAATTACTGCAATGCCACCTCGTTATTGCCTGTGCTTTCTTTTGTGCCTGATTTTTTCAAACAACCAAATTCTAATTTGTTTTTTTGATGATTCTTTCAATCATTTGTTATACTTTTATGTATACATAATGATGTAAATATGATATATTGTTGCATATATTTACTGTTAACCATAACATTTGATGATGGCTGTCCTTATGTTAACCAAATGCTTTTATTGTACTTTTAGGCAGCAGAAATATTCTGTTTGGAAGGAAAAGAGACAAGAAGAAGAAAATCTCAAACAAACAAAAACATATTTAAAAGAACTGTGAAAAAAATTGGCTTTACAATTACTATTTGCCTCACAATCAAACATAAGCACAACAATTAGCTTTGTAAAATTAAAAGACTACGCAGTGAAAGGCCAAAACAAAATGTCAGGTTTTCATCAGTCCTTAGTATTTATTGTTGTATTCAGTGTGTAGAATCTTCTAATGAAGTATTTTCTGAAAGGGTGATTTCTGAGGACCATGTCCACCTGTGTAATCATAAGCTCTTCACAGAGTTTAGTTGTCTGAAAAATTTTTTAAAACTATGATGGATGCCATGGCCAAACATGGTATTCTAGATTGTTGTTTGTTAGAAATAGGATGCTTTGCAGAGCCCATCATGTATTGGATATTTTCAACAAACCTAGTTCCACTGGGATCTTAAAGCAATGGTCTATAATGTTAAGTTCCTCTTTCAGCTCTGTAGAGAACAGCTATTGTTTTGAATGCCTTCAGCTCTTCTGAGGATGTTCTCTGGAGTGCAGCTAATCTTTCCTAAAGGAAACTGCACTAAAATGGGCACAAAGGATAATTTAGTGCCAACAATTAATGGAGCTCACAATCCATTTACACATACCCAATGGCAATTAAATTGTGATGTGCAGAAATCAGAAGCAAACTAGTCTTTGTTTCTGTGTTGTTGTGTGTTAGTGTTGAAGAAAATAAGCATTTTTCCATGGAGGTCATATATATTTACTTCTGAAATAATAATAACAAAACTTATAGAGCAACTTTCTCTAATATTGTGTGATTCAGAGATGTTGGGTGATCACTTCCATCACCTTCCCCCTCCATTGAAAAAGTAGAATGACGGAAGTCTGTGAAGAATATCATTGGCCTATTTCAGTGAGGGAAACATTTCATTGTTAAAAAGCAACATCATTTTTGTTTGTTTGTTTTAGGGTTGCATGGATATCCAGTTATTAACTTTTGGTGAATTAATTGGTTTGTACCCCTGCTTGTTTAATGGAAGTTGTTCCATTAGGCATCATACTAACAAGGATGTGAACATTTATCTTCTAGTCTTTGCTATAATTGGTTCTGGTGTGGCATCCTCAGTTCATGTTATGAGGTGAAGGAATCATTAAGCTCACCTGGAAGGCAGTCATACGCATAACATTTTATACATGTTGACTTCTAGTATCCACACTTCACAGAAGTTATTTAACAAGATCCATAAAAAATTATCTGTAAAACTGAATGAATTGAGCTTCATCCTAGATTTGGGTCATTGGAACGAGTTTAATTGGGTGGTTTCGGTGGGAACTTTTATTATAGAATCACTGTGCCTTATCCATAGATTTTTACTGTGATGGTAGTGAAGATATTGAATGCATTACTATGTTCAATTTGCAGGCTTTCTATTTTCCCCTCTTTCCCTTCATCATTTAAAATTCAATAAGCAAGGAAAAATGAAATAGCTGTGTTGTCCTTTTATCAGCTATGCTGGAAGTTATGTATCTCAAAGCATCCAATGCCATTGGCACAATGGACAAGGCCCTCCAGAACTTGGGGAGAGGGGAGGGCAATTCCATAGGGCAGCTTTATACCCTAAATAAGCACTAGTGGAAACTCTGTGGTTGTTTCTATCCCCACAAATCTTGACTGCTGCATTTTGAAATGTCCAGAAAAGGAGCAAGGAGCATGCAAGAAACATGCATCATAATGTCATAACACAAGTTGCATGACTTGGGTACTTTTGTCAAACATTGGGATTTAAATGTATAAAGCAACAGAGAGTTGTGTTATACAGTCAGTGTGTTCTTCTTTTATCATTTTGACTTGTGTTTGCAGTCAGTGTATTATTTTTTTCTTAGCATTTTGACTTGCTGTTAATGCCTATGGTTGCACTCAACAATTGCCCTCAAAAGTTGACAATAAGTTATAATTTTTTAAGTGTCAGAAAGAGGAACATTATTAAATACCAATCATACTAATTGCATTCAGTTTAAAACAAAATTGAAAGTAGGTTTTTTCCTGGCCCTCTTTTTTTCCCCCAAGCTCCTAGCTCCTCTTACTTTTGGAGGGGCTGCCTTCAGCAACTCACTCAGAAACCAGTCAATCAGTCTGAAGGAAGTTGTGCAGCCTGCCAAAGTGATTTGTATGAGCTCAGTTCTCACTGACTGATCAGATTCTGCAAAATAGAAAAACAGCCAAATATGATTTGGATTGGTAGAAGGCATATTCTTATTCCCTACAGCAAAATCTGGCCTAAGAAGCAACGGTTCCTAAATATTGATGTTCTTCGCTTTTTTATTTAGGCATTGTACCTGCACCATCCATATCGCTTCTTCAGCACACAGGCCTGGTGCAGTAATTACATTTAAAATCCCCAAATAGATAAGAAGGAGAAACACATTGCCGAGTGAATGTCAGTCTCATCAAAAATTGAACGTTTCATGCTGTGTTGACATTCCAGTGTTCCCTAAATATCATAAAGATCCTCTCACTAATTAAAAGTACCTCTGTGTTTATTTATAATAGAGAGATAGGAAGCAGGATGAAAAGAGAAATAATATTTGGCTCCATGTTGTAGGGACCTATTTTTGCTTGTAGCTGAAGTGGAGATCATCTTGCCTTCAGATTTGATGGAGCCTGAGAGGAGCTCCTGTCTAGCTCACAGTGACCCAATTTGATCCTAGCTCTGGGCACAGCAATTATTTCTTTTACAAAGTTTACATTGACATTAATAAAAACTCCCCAGCCCAACCCCATCTTCATTCCCCAAAGCCTTCATGCCATATACAAAGAAGGAGGTGGATTTCTGAGGGAAACTGTAATTCTATTATGACCCTCCAGCCTGAAAACCACACTCACTGCAATTACAAATAAGACTTGACATTAAAAAAGGGAAAACATTGGAAGGGGAGAAGGGATGGGGAAAATGGAATGGAGGCTACATGTGAATGTCCATATGTATAAGATGATGGGAGAGAGAGAGGGGATGATTGCTGTGCCTCTCCCTCTTTGTTTTGCCTATATCCAGCACTGATATGGGCTCCCAAAAAGAAATTGTTAAAGTTGGAGGGGGAAATGTTCCACTCCTTGTTTAAAACGATGATCAGCCATCTGAGGTCTAACCTATATTAGCTGCAATGGTGATCATGATTCTTAACTTTCCTTTCTGATCTCCTGAAAAATTACGGCCTTTCAGAAAACACTGTGATCAGCCCTCTTCTCCCTTTGGGGTTGACAGCCGCTTAGAGGCTCATTCCAGTTGGCTACAAGAAAGAGAAACAAGCAGGCAGCACCAGTTCTTTGATAAATAAGAAACATTACAAGAAAGGAGCTATGGGACACAGTAGTGTATGTTACAGTAAACTTTTCTCAGTTCTTATGTTCTTTGCTGTTTTATAAGACTAATGATGTTCGGTAAATCCAGGTTATTTCAAATGGCCTATCTCTGAGACCTTTCCTCATATTAATGTTTACATCATTGGATTGTGTATCACAAAATAAATGTGGATGGGATTCTTCTCTAATTCCCCAGAATGCGTAGTCATAGAATTAAGTCTGAGACATTGGTAGTCCCCAAGCTAGAGAAAATCATGTCCTGGAACTCCCCAAATACTTCAGTGCAAGGAAGGCTAAAAACATCAGTAACAATAAGAAAATGGTCTTTATCAAACATACAAATATTTGTGTCATGGACTATCTCACAATCTAAGAATCTCGGAATACATTTTGTAAGCCCCCGTTGTCCATCTTGCCTTCGTCCTGACAAATTTCAACACTGGGAATGCATACTTTTCTTACTGTGAAGGCCATTTTAGATTTCTGCTTGCTTAACGGGAACTATGTATTAATTTAAAAAAAAAAATATGGAGAAAAATTAAGCTTTAACTATTGTGTCAAAGTAAAAAGGCCCTGCAAGCCCTCAGTGGAACCTGTCTAATTTAACTAGTTGATGGTATGAGAGGCTAATGGAAGTAGGGCTGTGCTCAAAACCACAGATGAAATTTCTGCACAGGCTTCTCATGTTCCCTTCCCTTCAGCCCACCTTCCCCAAGGACCTTGGTTTTTAAAATATTTTTCTACTGCTCAGATACAATTTCATACTGTTGATTATGTCTTTCACATCAAGCCTAGTCTCCCCCACCCCACCAACCACCATTTTATGGCATTACTGCAACTGATATGTGATCCCTGATAAGACATCGGCATAACCTGACCTTATTGGTTATCATTGCTTTTCAGTCAATCCCTGTTTCTTTCATTTCCAGATGAAAGCAGAGAGGGTGAGGCTGAGGAGAGACAGCCATAACTAGATTGCTAAATATGATCGCCAATATTATTTTGTCCTTCATCTGGTAAGAATAGAACACTATACTCAATTTATCTTCTTCTTAATCTTTTTCCAAATGTCCTTTCTCTTCGAAAAATGTCCATGTGTAGGCATGGATTAATTCCTACTAAATAAAAGGCAAATATAGTATATATTGGGCAAGGACTGGACATAAAATCTTAGAAAGGGATAATTGAGGAATGGAGCATCAAATGGTAAAAAAGGAAAAGGCCACTTCTGATCCTCCATATATGCCCCCGAGTAACTTCTTTGAAAATGTACCATAGATCAAAGAAAAATTGCTTCATAGTGACAGCAGCCTTCATTTAGGAAGTTACTTAAGCATGCATTTAATTTAAACATGGGAATTAAGCTCCATTTACTCAATGGAGCTAAAGCACATGATTAAATTTAACCAGAAGATTAAATACTGTGCTTAGTGACGCCATGTTTGCTAAGAGCAAAAATATTCAGAGTCAGGAAGGACTCTAATAACTGGAGTTGAAGGATTAAAGAGCATTGCTACTTCTGTTGTTGAGGGTGATTTTCCCAGGGTGGCCTCTCCAAATATATCTGAGTTACAAGCTCAGGGTGGGGATAAAAAATCCTTCCTGTGTGTGAATAGAAAACAGATTTGCCATAGAAAATCCTGATTCCATTCCCTCTTTTCCAACTCGACAAAGTTGTAGATTTAGCATTGATTCCCACTACAGTAATTCTATGTTTATTAAGCCCAATTGTTAGCAATTCAGGAAAGCTAAGCAACAGCTGACTTAAACTAACAATTTTGGTTTAAGATATGTTACATTTGATACAAAGAA